GGTTTGAATGGCACTGATCCTTGGCTGCAGAAAGCTCCTTTTCAGCAATTGCCACCTGATACACCAAGCCTGTTCCTTCCACATGAAATACCAGGGAAATTACGCAATGACTTGGTTTTTGGGTCTCCAAATAAATCAGCACGTGAACACCCCTTTGGACCACCTGGTCCTTCTTGGCCCAAGTAAGTACTTTCCTATCCCCCTTTCTTTTCAGAAAATTTGCTGCAACAAAGGCTTTCATGACCGCTGAACATATAATTTTAACTTGAGCTAGAAACCTAGTATAATAACTCATTATAGAATAGTTGTTGGCCTTCCCCAGATGTTGACAACTGCTAGTTTCATGCTATTGTGTGAGTCATTCGAGTTTTCCAGTTAACTGCTTAGTATAGTTCCATGCATCAATCCATTTAAGCACCAAATTATTGACGTTTTTTTATGATAATCATTTGACGACATCTGCTTAAATTTGCATGAACATAGTTAAACACGAGTGAAGTCTCCAAGTGTGATTGTGGATTACTCCTTACTTCAACGAGTACATTTATATGTACGGAAATTAGAGACCGTTGAAAAGCATAGTGAATTATCGTGGTATTTAGCATTGCTGAGTTTTTAATTGATACTCGTCTTTATTGTTGAACCCATTGAGTGTGATGTGTGTATGGATGATCCTTTCTTCTTTGAAAGATTCAAGGCAGCAGTGCTCTTTATTCTCCAATCATTAGGTGGGAGTTCTCTGTGGATCTTATTTATGATAATGACGTGTAATCTGGGGCAGGGCAGTGGTGCTTCTATATATATATATATATATATATATATATATATATATATATATATATATATATATATATATATATATATATATATATATTTTGCATATGTTTCATGAGTTAGTCACGCCAATTTTGGTCTTTGCAGTCACTATGTGTCCACCTAGATGTTAGGCAACACCATCCTGCTTACTGCTTAATTGCCACATACTCTACCCAGAGTGTCTGCCTAATCCTAGTTAGTCTCTCTAGTGACTAAAGCTTTTTGGAACACTTAATCGGACATGTGCGTTTCTGATATTTCGCACTTTCATGGATCATGGTTCATTGATGTTATGGCGTTAAGTGGTCTACTCTGCTCGTGAATGACGATGAATTGACAAACTGCCATAATGAATAAGCTAGCTTGGATATGTCTGGTCATTTTGCATGATTCGTTCCACTGTTCGTGATTGTTGAACCTTAATACTAAATGTGTCGTCAGTCAAGATATGTTACAACAATGGCACGGTTGACCAATGATTTGGCCATGGGTTTCTCTCAGCCCAGCTAGAAATTATGTGCTAAGTAAATACCTTTTTCTTAAGGCAGTTCAGAGGCAAATTCATTGCTAGGTCTAAATTGATTAGAAAGAAGGGTACAGAAACCGAGGAGAGATGGGTAGTTGTCATCATGAATTGTCAGATTATTAGCCAATGTTTTTATCCCTGGTCTTGATGATGTGCTCCTCACATTTAGTGTATTAGATTTTGTGGTCTGGTCAAGATTTGTTTTCCAATAGTAACTTTTATTTTCAATAGCTCAGGGGTACTCAAGCATCTGATTTCTGATAACTGCCCAGGTTCTGTGTTTACAATGAGAAGAAGTTTTGGAGGGGATGAGCAGACTAAACACTTGATTTTATAGGATGCTTCCTGCAACATCATGGTCTTCTACGTTCATATCATCCATTGTTTGCATTGATTTTTTGTATTTTTAAATAGTGTGGGCTGCTGCTTTTGAGACATAATTAGAGGCTAGACTTAGATGGTGCAAAATCAGAACTTGCCGCAGGCTAAGCTGTTCTGTTGCAGGCAGTTTGATGAGATACGTATAGGTTGATAGCGAGTGTTCTAGTTTCATTTTTATGTCAAGGTTGGGATGGTCTTATGTCCAAGAAATGCGATTAGATGAGCTGGAGATTGAATGAAATTCGGCTGATGCCAAAAGTCCAAAATGGATGATTAAATATTTGCTATGGGTTGTGGGTTGTGCAAGGCCACAATCCTTGAACGTATGAATGCATGTCTTTTTTATAAGAGCAACTGTTGAGCTAACATTTTTTGTTCTCTGAAATATGTAGTTTGATAGCATTGAACTTCTGCACTGTAGGTGGTCGGATTCTTGGAAATGCTGTTCATCAGTGGTGTTTGGTTACTGCATCCTGTTTGACCTTGCTGTTAATTATTGGGCGTAGTTTTAATTGTTACTTCTGAAGGGCGGGCCTGGTGCAAGCGGTAGAGTCTTACCGCCTGTGACCGGAAGGTCCCGGGTTCGAGTCGCGGTCTCCTCGCATTGCACAGGTGAGGGTAAGGCTTGCCACTGACACCCTTCCCCAGACCCCGCACAGATCGGGAGCTCTCTGCACTGGGTACGCCCTTTATGGTTGGGGCCGGCTCCTTCATACTTGAAAAGCATATGTAAAGGTGCTGTGATGAAAGAGCAGGCAGCCTAGTCCATGTGCGATGAAAGTTTTAGTCCAGTTAGGATACAACTAGAGTTCCCGGAGGATTCAAAGACAAGGCCCAATGGGGTGTTCAGTCTTATCCCATGGCGATGTCTCTAGGAGGAGAGACATCCACACAATTTACGCAAGTGGGCTGCTACCCACAGAAATTTGGCTCAAGGGAACGTGGAAATTGGGTTATCAGTTTTCTTAGCATGACTAGTTCATTTGAGTCATTTTTGAATACTCAGGTAGTATGACAGACCATCTGGTTCCTACTTCCTACAGGCCAGAAGCACTTTTTTTTGACAACACAGGCCAGAAGCACTTGACCTATCAACAGGCTCCAAGCTGATGGAAACTTAGCATACAAGATTCGATTGTTTTTGTGTTGGACTTGGTCTATTGGCGTTTGAATTTGCTTGTTTCAAGTTTACGACTTGTACCCTGGAAGCTGTTGGCTTGAAATTGAGTTCATTTGGTCTGCATGGCACTGGGTGCCTGAAATCTTTTACTTTTACCATGGGTTGTGCCCTTTGGGTGTTGTCTGCATGACACAGCTTGGTTTCTGTTTTAGGCCTGACAAAACATTTGAACTATCCATGTCTTATTTGATTTCATGTTTTTTTGGGTAGTATTATCATCATACGTACATTCATACTACCATCGTTGATAAAGTGAAATGCTGGATCTGACGACTCTGTTGGGGTTATTATGTATGCAGTGGGAGCTGTCGCAGGATGGAGCCCAGGAAGGTGGTGGCCATTTTCATTGCCGTCCAGCGCACCAGTCGGTGGCGGAGGAGGCTTATTTTGCTCGACAAGTCCTGATGTCCAGTCCTCCGTGTGGTCTTTCAACGAAAAAGAGACAGCGCAGCAGGGACAAACCTCGTTATAGAAGGGAATGGAGGGTGTCTGAGCCAAAACTTCCTTGCCTCCCCTCTGAGTGTTGCAGGGGGTTACTTAGCGAGGAGATAAGGCTCTCCCTGTTCATTGACGCAAAAAAGATATGGGGTCATTTTGTTTAGTAGCACTCTCACCTGACCTGTTAACATGCGCCACGCCGCCACCTGATGCATTGCATCAGGTGAAACTTACTTTCACCTGATGTGTTGGCACTTCTCGTCCTATGAACTCTGGGATTCAGTGAAAAATGGGCATGGGGACTTGCCCTGCACAGGTGCGCTGATGTCTTGGGTCGCCGCTAACACTGGCACAGCTCCCTTTGGCAATGCGCAATAGCGCGTGCCTATATGTGACTGATTTGTTTGAAGGTGGTTGTTCGTCTGTACTAATATATATGTAGGTCGTTCTGTGCAAGTGGTAGTGGATAGCAGCATACCATGAAGGGCTCGCTCGTGTACACCCTGACGATTGGGTGGGGATTCCAATCTGAACAAACCTGTAGGTGGAAGATATTTGGTACACGATGGGAGAAGAGAAGATGGTGCTTGTTAGTATCCAGTAATATTTAGGAATCATCTTGTTTTGGTGATGCTGGGATCAGCATATGTTTCCACTTTTTTTTTCTGAGAATAGCAGGGCAAGGCAGGATGGTGTTATCTGATGGGTGCAGCGGCCATGCAAGTGGTTTGGTTCAGCAGTCGGTAGTCTTTACTCTTTACTGTACTGGGCAGTGGCAAACTGGCAACTACCCAGGCCACCACTAGCAGCAACCACCGACCTTTGCGGTGCTGTGTTGCGAAACATGCGTGTGCCGTTTGTCGTGCGCGTGCTGCTTCGGCGGCCTTGCACGCCACCGCAAATGTAACGAACGAAGCTCAACTATTCTTGTTCTTGGAAACGAATCCTCTCGTAAATGCGACTGCTTGTTTGATAGACAGACGCCGATTGGATCTGGAGGGAGCAGGGGAGAAAGAAAAAAACGCGTCCGTCCCCTGCATCGGCGGTCCGTTGTTTTTGACTTGGACAGTTGGACAGACAAACGTGGGAACCCAAGGCAAACCCCGCGGTCTCCGTCCGTTCGCTGCTGCGTCGGTGTCGTGCCTGCACGCCTTGAGAAGCTTCCATCCGCCGACAGGTAGGGCCTACAGAGACGGAGTCAACCACCGCGTTCCGCGGCGCCTTCACTGCCAAGTGGGCCCCGCCAGGCTTCGCGCAAGACTGACGGTGACGGCCCGACCGACGGGCCTGTTTCTGTCCTGTGGCGACCCGACCCCTCTCGTTCGTCTTCCTCTTCCTCTTCCTCCCACCCTCTCTCTCTCGTCGTCGCACAAACAAATCCGTCCCCGACCCGTCCTCCTCCAGCTTCTTCCTCCGGCCCGCTCCTGTCTCCTGCCTCTGCCGGCGGGATCCCATTGCAGCCTCACCGGTTGACGGACGGACAGGTCAAAGGAAATTCCACCAAGGGAAGGAGACGACGGGAGGGCGAGCGGACTAATCAACCCACTTACCCACACCAACTCTTCCAAATCCAGCCGCCCCAGGCAAAGGCGCCGCCTTTCCTCAATCCATTTCCTTGCGTTCTGTTCCCCTGCAAGGGAAGGAGACGGGGCGGAGGAGATGTGCCCGCTGCGGGTCATCCTCATCTTCCTCTCCGCCACCGTCGCCGGCTTCTTCCTGCTCCGGGGGCTCAACGCCGACCCCGCCGACCAGTTCGACGCCGACGCCGACGCCGACGCCGACGGCGAGGGCTCCCTCAGGGCACCCGTGCCCCTTCATTCCAAGGTAACGCGTGTCACCTGTCTGGCAACCCCGCTATTCTTAGCTTCCTGACTGCTGCGGCGCCGCTCACAAATTCCTGCTTGGAAAACTAGGATCACAGCATTATCTAGATGAATTGAATTTCAGGCTTATTTGAACCACTCCTCTTGATGAATTCAGGCTCATTTGAACCACTCAGTTATCACTGATATGCCAATGATATACAATATGCTAGTCCTGAATCCTGAACAAAAAAACTTGCATAAATTTCGTACCTTGTTAGCAAGGTAGGTGTAGATTGTTTGATCAAACGATGAGGTCCTAACCGGACTGCTCCTAGCTTCAGCTTTTTACCTCTCTGTACAACACCTACCGCTGTAAATCTCCATGTAAATCAAATAATCATGTAACTCGAGCCATATATATATATATATCAATAAAAATCAGGTGGGGCAACCCTGCTCCCCCCACCCCCCACCCCAATTGAAATGTTCATAAAAAAAAAATCCTACTATACTACGGACATGTATAATAGCTTACAGTGATAAGAGCAATTGCAAACTGCGGGGAGGGGGATGTACCACTTGATTGAGCAGGGCTTGGGTAGCCTTGAAACTCACTAGAGCTCCAAAACACCTGCCATCGTGTTACCGTTCATAAAGTAACTTGTTAGCACGCATACATTTGGTTGACTTTTTTGTTCGAAAGAAATAAAGATAACAGTTTCTCAACTTTAAACAAGCAAGCAAACAAACAAATAATGGTACTATAGGTTGTCTGGAATGGCTTACAATTATTAGAGTTATCATGAATTCATGGAGAAAAAAGTTATGCCATGAGAAACTGTTATCTTTATTTCTTTCGAACAAAAAAGTCAACCAAATGTATGCGTGCTAACAAGTTACTTTATGAACGGTAACACGATGGCAGGTGTTTTGGAGCTCTAGTGAGTTTACAGTGATAAGAGCAATTGCAAACTGCGGGGAGGGGGATGTACCACTTGATTGAGCAGGGCTTGGGTAGCCTTGAAACTCACTAGAGCTCCAAAACACCTGCCATTGTGTTACCGTTCATAAAGTAACTTGTTAGCACGCATACATTTGGTTGACTTTTTTGTTCGAAAGAAATAAAGATAACAGTTTCTCAACTTTAAACAAGCAAGCAAACAAACAAATAATGGTACTATAGGTTGTCTGGAATGGCTTACAATTATTAGAGTTATCATGAATTCATGGAGAAAAAAGTTATGCCACTTGATTTAGCAATGCTTAGTAGCCTTGAAACTTTTTCTCAAATACGCAGGAGAACTGCGTATCATTGCATTAAGAGAGGAAAAAACAGACCCGTACAAGAAGCCTCCCCCCACTCCGGCCCGAGCTGTGGGGGTGCTAAGTTACAACAAGGCCTAGATCACTAAAACACAAACACAGGGTAGGACCTGACCCACAACACACGAACTATTGACAACAGCTAGGTTATCGCCACCTCTTGATCTAAAGCGCCAAGCTTTCGTGCCCCTGCGAGACACCAAAGATGGTGCTCATCATCAAAGGAGCGGAGCAAATCATTCATGCTCGGGCTCGCTCCTTCGAAAACACAAGCATTCCTATGTTTCCAGAGAAGCCATGCACCCAGGATGATCAAAGTGTTGAAACCTTTCTTCTTTTCTTTGGGTACCCGCTTAGCTGCTTTTCTCCACCAGCCTGTGAACTCTTGATCCCTGTTGTCTGGCAGGTAGCCTTGAAACTGACTAGACATTCAGGCATTTGGCATATTGCCAAACACTCCCACTGTTCTTTCAAGCTCGTATGATCTTCAAACATTTGGCATCTTGCCCAACACTCCCACTGTCCTCTGCTCTGTTAAAAAGATCATGCTATAAACTTTCTGGATCTTGCATCTCATTTTGTTTACAAAATTAACTTTTTGAGTGTGCTTAAACAGTCGCATCGTGCACATGAAAAAGCATATGTAGTTAAGCAACATATAGCAGTGAACCCCTGCACGATCGATGATCGAACTAGTTCTTGGTTCAAATTTTAAACCATCAGCTCTTTGTTTCCCTTGTGTGCACATCTGAAAGATACAATATTGTGCCTTTAGTAACAATTGGTTCAGAATCTTAAAGACTGCTTTCTGCATGAATCTATAGGTTGGATCAGCAGTGAAAACTGGATTCTGGACTATGGTGGACATGGCAAGTGGGAGGTACCTCTGGTGCACCCTTGTTGCACAACCGGCAAAATCTGAATCTGATAAGGCCCGGTGACGAATGTTCATAACTTATTTTGTATTCTGCTGATTGAGTGCCAACAGAGGCGGCGAAGATAGGCACAATCCTGTTGTCCTTACATGTGGGGGCTAAATTATACTACGGTGGCAAATGTAACATAGATGGGGATTGCTGATTATATATGCTAAAGTAACTGTGCAGAATTGTTGGTGTTTCAGCCTTGTGTACTGTGGTAACTGTAAGTGTGTGTCAGTGCTGGGAGTAGGGAATTTGGACATGACATTGTGGCTAAAGTTTGCACGATTTTAATTTTCAACTTAAGCCATGCCCATGCTTGTGCTTAAATGAGACTTTGAGCATGTAAATCTGGAAATTTCATTGTCTGTGTTTGCTTGCGCTGGCTGATATTGTTGGACTGCAAGTATGCAACTTTCTTTTGTTCAAGTCATAATCGGTTGGCCGTATCTTTCAACAAGCGTTCAGCTTTCTTACTATTCTTGCGATCTTCCTGTTGGGCTTCTAGTATTTTTGATGCTGCTTGACAAGGAGTAAGCAGGCTCGTCATGATGGCATGTTAACGGAGAGTTGCACCAATTACATTGCTTTGGTAGTCTGAGATGTTTTCTTGATGAGAAGACAGGGAATTAGCCTGATTGCCTGAAGATGGTATTAACTATTCAGCGTTCAGTAGCATCTCTGTTAACTCTTGATAGAGGAAAGCACTTCTCACTATACTAACCTGAACGAAATCATAAACAAAAGTTACACTAGTAATTAACCTGAATATAATCAGAAATATCATTGTTTGAGGCAACTTGTACAATGAAATGAAGCAATTTTGCACACTATTCTTTTTTTTTTCTCTCTGAAGACTCGTGATCATGCATCCAAAGCCCCAAGTTAAATAACTACTCCTCTATTCCAAATTATAAGATGCTTTGCTTTTCTAGATGCATAGCTTTTGCTATACATTTAGGGATACACCATGTCTAGAGATATAATAAAAACAATGTGTTTAGAAAAGTCAAATCGTCTCCCCAAGGAAGTATATGCATAAATAGCACGAGTAATGAAGGGGCAGAAGCAAACTGTAAGCTACAGCCCGCAAAACAAGATGCAGACGCAGAGTAGAATAACGAAAGTAAAACTGAAATGTTTGACACAACAGACCGAGTTGTACTGGAGTTGGGTTCAACAGAACAGAACAGAACAGACTGAAGCAGCAGTTCTGCAACCACAGCCTGCTACATTCATTCCCCACTCTGAAATAGCAAATGTCAGCGATTGTCTTTTTTCCCCACTCCTCTCCACGCCATCTTGGTGGGCTTGGATCCAATATAGATTTTTAGTGTTTCCTGGTGATCTCCCAGTGGACCAGCTCCAACTTCTGAAGATTGTGTTGCAGTAACATGATCTCTACTCGATGATAATTTGGTTTCAATCAGCCTGTTCTCTTAGCATTCAAGATACGTGTGTATCAAGCTAGTGAGCGGATAATATTCTTTAGTTGCATAATTTTATGCATCATAAACCTATTATTGTTTTTTTTTGCTGGTTGGTTAAGGATGTAGTAAATGAGCCATTTGACATTGTGCATGATTAGGTCTCTATTTTTCTGTTTTATTAGGGCTCTAATCTGTATAGCCTGTCTGACAACACATAGCTATGAAACTAGACTTTTGGGATGTGGGGTAGATGCTAAGGTTTTCAGTAAGTTTCGCCGTGACATACAATATATGAAATTCCAGTTTCACCTTTTGCTACATTTCCAGTACAAAGTTCAATACAAGAAGGTCGTGCAAGCAGTAGCAATCTCTGGAACTCCCACACCTAATTACCAAGCATGATGCTCCAATCTATGCATGATGGAAGCTAATTAATCAGCACTAGTAGTAACTAAGGATTATATTTGATAATTATCTGCTCATAGAAGTTTTTCAACTGCACTTGGTGCCCCATGTTTACCAGCTGTCAGTTGCTGTCAAAGTGTCAATCGGCTTGACTTCTTTGCCTGTTGCCGACAGATACAACAGCTATGCACATGAGCGAGCAAAGCCATAGAAAAAGGGAAAAACGATGAACAACTCAACTTTGTATGCTGAAAGCAGGAAATATTTATCTATATCATCACTTTTGTCTCTTGTTTGTAGAGAACTGGAGATACATCGCATCAACAGAAAAAGCTCAGATGTTTGAAAATCAGGAGCCCAAACAGTTTATTACATAATTATGCACAACTTGGCATAGCGGTGATTGGTTGGCTAAAACTAATCGGATTGGATCGACGCTTGACCCACTTGGGAAGTCATTCCGGTGGTTGATTAGGAATGTGAAAAACGAGCTAGTGGATCTATCCTTAGTCCCATTTGATGGAGACGATTCTTTGGTTGATTAAGAATGTGAAAAACGAGCTAGTGGATCTATCCTTGGTCCCATTTGATGGAGACGAGTTCTTTTTTCGTGCAAGTAGACTAGTGGAGTTCAGACATTGCCTGAAGATTAAACTTACCAACATGTGATGTACGTTTCATCTTTTTATATGTTCTTTTGTGTGGTGTACATTTTACCTTGATTTCTTTGTCAGACTGTTTCTTTTAGCTACCTTACAATGAAAGTGGTAGCTCTACTTCATTCTTTGTCTAATTCCGACTTTTACAAGTTATCGCTATTGATGAATATGGAGACTGACCAAGTGCTCAAGAGTTACTTGTTGATTCCCCACTTGAAAAGTTAATCTACTGGCAAGTAAGTTGAGATACAGAGCACAGCACCACCCGTTTGACATGTAAAACATTTTCTTAAAATTGTAGTTGGCAAACTCTGAGAGAAGAATTGAGAGCCTAAAAAGAACAAAGATAGGTTCTTTAGATTTTAGTGGGTTCAATAAATTTTAATCTCAAACATAATAAATAAAATATAAAGTATTCTTGAAGTAATGGCAAATCACTACTGGAAGTTCTTTCTGCTGTTATTATGTGCTGGAATGGCTAAAATCAAGGTGATTCCATATGCAAGTGATGAGGAGCTTATCTCTTGCAAATGTTTGGCACATTTCACCAAAAGAAGCTATTAGAGAAGTACATGAAAGCTCAATCTTTTTTAAAGGATCAAAGGCAATTATTTCATTATGGATAGGGACAACCATTACACATTACAGGACAGAAACAGTTTTCAGAATGGAACGACTGGACAACTCAGCCTCTCAACAATTATTGCGCAACGGAATGGTTCACAGAAAGAGAAAGAATGCAATTACTGAAAAAGAACACACATGTCGAACAGAATCACTCTGAGCTGAAAAAATCTAACAAATTTTGGGAACAAAACTGAGACATCCAGAGGTACTACTCCTTTTGCTGTCGATCATCTCCATGCCAGGCCCAGACTATGTCCTTCAGTGCTGGCCGGATGTCCTCTTCCAACAGTTTCTGGTACTCAAGTGAATCACCGCCTGTTTGCTTCATTTCAATGAGATGGTAGGATGCCGTGATCTCAAATATTTCTGTGTCAAACTGAAGGACACCATTCCTTCCTCCTTCCTCCCTTGAATCTTGATTACACCATTATCCTTCTTCCTTATCCTGAGATTCAGTGCTTTTGCAACATCTTCAAGCTTCGAGATGATGGTCGTGGCAGGCTTATCAGAAGTGAATCGTGTCTCCTTTTTGCACTCCTTTCTGATAAATAGACCAGAGAGGTCAAACCCTGTGGAGAAAGATATGATTTCAAAGGCATTTAAGTTTGTGACAGCCAGGGGCTTCACATCTTCATGAACATTCTTCTTGCGCCTCATAACAAGTGCTGGAGCAGCATTTGTGGTGGCATTCTCACTTGGAATTTTCTCCTTTACTGTACGGGTCTCCCCAGGTCCTTTTCGGAACCAGGTAGACTCTTTTATCTTCTGGACTGAAATTCTTGTGTTTGGGTTGGGGTCCAGGATCTTGTACAACAGCTTCTTGAGTTTGTGTGAAAACCAACTGGGGCACCTGAAATCACCATTCTGTATCTTACGATACATCTCCATCAAGTTTGGGCCTTGGAAAGGAAGATAACCAGCAACAAGTACAAATAGAACAACCCCACAAGACCAGATGTCTGACTTTGCACCATCATAGCCTGTCTTGCTGATCACCTCTGGAGCTACATATGCTGGAGTTCCACAGGTGGTGTGGAGCAAGCCATCTTGCCTCTTCGACTCTGAAAGTGCACTCAGTCCGAAATCTGAGACCTTCAGGTTCTCATTCTCATCCAACAGCAGGTTCTCAGGCTTCAAGTCCCGGTGATACACACCTCGGCTGTGGCAGTAATCCACTGCACTAATGAGCTGCTGGAAGTACTTGTGTGCAATGGCCTCTGTGAGCTTGCCACTCTTCTCAATCTTGTCAAAGAGCTCGCCACCTTTCACATACTCCATGACGAAGTAGATCTTGTTTCGTGTCGCCATGACCTCATGAAGCTCAACAATGTTCTTATGAGCCACCAACCGCATCGTTGTGATCTCCCGCCTTATCTGCTCCGAAAGCCCGACCTTGAGCACTTTGTCCTTATCCATCATCTTAATAGCAACACTATGGTTGGACTCAAGGTTCCTTGCATAGTGCACCTTGCCAAATGTGCCTTTCCCCAGCAGCCTCCCCAACTCATACCGCTTCATCAAAATCTTTCCTCTCGATTCCATATCTTTTCTTTCTTCAAAAGTATAAATCACTGGGCTACACTTTTGGCTGCCAATCAGGTGGACTGCACAAAGAGTTAGCCATCCTCCCCCATGTCATGATCCATGATGGTGAACAGTATTCTTATGGCTTGGTCGTGTCGCAGTCTCAACGTCGTAGAATTGATGCAGGTCAGATCATCAAGAGTTGAGCAGATCAGCAGCCCTTGCGGAGCAGCAAGGTCCTTGATGGCGCAACAGGAATCTCTTCTATGAAAGCACATCTTTCAGCATTCCCTGAGGCTTTAACTTGTTGTGATTTCTGTTATCTGCTCAAGAGAAAAGAAACATTAGATTCAGCAACGAATGGATCAGGATATGC